TTTTAAGTTGGCAACAAATTTGCATTGATGATGATCGTCATCAAGTGTCCGGTGATTTATGATAGGCCACTGTACATCGCTGATTGGCTGGCTTTCTTTCATAAAAATTTAAAGCGATAGAATAACACTATTTCTTTAGAAGCTCGATTGGAAAAAACAATGGTCCAACCGAGAATAGTAACCGCAACAGCTTAATCAGCGATCCAATTCAAACCAAATGTCAATAATTCGACAAAAATTGCCCAATTAGAGCAAGTTAAGCAATTAAAAAACGGAAATCGACAACTTAAAAAATCAGCCTAATTCTGACACTTTACGAGCCAAAGAGCAAGAATTAGCATAAATGTAAGTGATAGAAATTACTCTATTTAATCTACCTCTTTTAATCAGTTCCTCCAAACTTTTACCTCCCAAGTTCTCAACTTCCACCAAAATTACTTAATTTTATCATCGCTTCTAGCCGTTCTTGGCTTTTTCAGAACCTTTACAGCGAAGATATTGTGAGATTTTGATGCGTTTAGTTACGCAGTTGGAACAAATTCTTTTGCAAGTCGGACAGGTAAGGTTGCCGTGCTGATTTTTACAAAGTTTTCAGGCTTCATAGTCCACGTAAATGAGTTTGCCGTTTATTTTCATTTCTTCTCTTTGTGATTTTGACTTCGTGGTGATTCTGTTGATGAGATAGAAATTATAATTGATAAGGCTTCGAGAACTTGGTTAGGGGAAGATAATTGTTAACGACATTGAATTGTCGCCCAAAGAGTAGTTATCGGTTTGCATTGACATAGGAAAGTTATTACTCATTTTGAAAAAAGATTTGCTAAAATATATAGGGAGTGATCGAATAAAAGCAAGTTGGTTAAGCAAATATCAAGAGTGAAATATCCGAGGACAAGAATTAGGGAATAAGTTAAAAAAAAAATAAATTTTTAGCAATAAATTCTTTGCTACGTAACCACGACTGGAGTTTTCTAAAATAATCCCCTCATAGACTATTTATTTTTTTATCAAATGGTACTACTTATTAGCCTCCATTGCTTGCGGTTCTCTATTGAGTTCTTTTTTTAAAAATATTTTGTTTTTAAAAGCAATAATTTTTGACCAACCCGGCAAAACAAATCCGACACAGGGATCATGCCAAAATTAGGATAAGATTTAGGGAAAGAAGATTCTGAATAAATGAAATTTTACCAGTTATACAAGACAATTGAATATGAACATAGTAAAGATCATCATGATTTATTGTATAACGATAAATTATGATATTTTGCTATTGTAAAAATGCCGCCTGCTGGCTTCAACCCGAACCGCCTTAAAGTGCAGCTGAAGTTAAGCGTTAACCGTCTAAAGTTAACGCAACAAAAGAAAAACTCTCTTGGGAAAGATGCGCGTCGAGAAATTGCTGAGTTATTAAAGAATGGCAAGGTGGAAAGTGCAAAAATACGGGTAATAAATGATATAAAAATTTCTCGATCGCTTTTTTGACAAACAATAAATTATACGTTTTAACTCTTATTATATTTGATATTTTTTTATATAAAAAAGGTTGAAGGCATTATACGTGAAGATCTTAATTTGGAAGTAATGGAAATCTTGGAACTATATTGTGAACTACTGTTGGCTCGATTTGGTATGATTGAGCAAATGAAGTATGTACGGGAGTGCACCGAAGAGGGCATTGAATTATATCAGTTTATTCATGCCACTTCTGTCTTTTTTCTTTCTAGACAATGTGATCCAGGAATACAGGAAGCTGTTTATACCTTGATTTACGCTGCACCGCGCTCTGAAATTAAGGAATTGAACATGGTAAGGATTTCTAATATTGGATTGCACATAACATCATTTCTCTCTAGACAATTTTAATTACATTTATGCTTTTTTTAATATTATTTTTAGGTACGGGATCAATTAATTTCAAAATATGGTAAAGAGTTTGCATTAACTGCAATTGATAATAAGGACAACTGTGTGAATGATAGGGTAAAAATATTTATTGTTACCATTATGAATTTAAGATGACAATAAATGTTCACTTCATATAATTTTATTTATAGGTTGTACATAAATTGAAAGTGCTTACTCCAGATAGGTATTTAGTTAATAGTTACTTGGAAGAAATTGCCAAATCATATAATGTAAATTGGACTCCGGATCCAAGTGATGAAAGAGTTTTAGGGGTTTGGGATATTTTTAAATTTGTAATTTTATATTTCGTTTAGCAATTTGTCTTAGCATTTTTTCCCATTATAGTTGGATGATTTACTGAATTTAACACCATCTGACAATAACGTTGACACACAAAGACCGACAATATATACCGCATTGCCAGACTATGACTTATTAATGGAGGACATAGCGCCTCAATTTGCCGAATTAAACAATAACGATAATAACGTCGTATGTGAGAATATTTCAAATAAGAAAATTAGTATCCTCTATAATCCCTAACATTTTCTTATTTTTCACATCAAAAATAAGGAGCACCAGGAGACAAATGATACACTTCTTCCGGATGTTCCTTCATCACCACCATCTAATAAAAAACACGAAATACATGGCAAATCGTCATCTTCCATCCTTCCAGACTCTTCAAATTCATACGCAAAAAATGGTAAGTCAGATCCTGCTTCTCAAGAAACTCGCGATCAATCATCATCTTCCACAAAGACCACAAAATCAAATGACGAATTGCCTGATTTTGAAGAGTTGACAAGGAGATTTGAGGCTTTAAAAAAAAAATAAATATTATTTGTATCTTGTTTTATTATAAGTTACAGTTGAGTATATTTATACATAATCTAGATTTTGTTAAAATTATCTATAAATATCTAATTTTTATTGAATCATCGAGTCTTGAAAAATCGGAATCCTACTGCTTTTTGCGTTTGATTTCACTAGTAAATCGTATTTGATGCCAGCAATCTTTAACAGATATTAATTCAGGCTTCGAGAGGTTGCAATTTTTTGCCTTCCTTTCGTGGCTTCTCTTTATTCTGTATAGCTGGTTCTTCTATACAAGTGATAATCAACGAATAAATTAGAGCCGGAAATAAGTGATATATAAAAGAGATAACAAATCACCTTCGCTAAGTTGCTCATCTACAGGAAGTTCTTGTGTGGGGACCGAAGGCAGTTTCAATTGTGATTGAATCTATTTGTTAGAATTATTTATTGGAGATAAGAAATATAGCAAATATTTGTGATTTCATAAAGAGAATTCAAGTCCTTGTGTAATACCTGTTCCTTTTCAATTTCCTCCAATTCTTTGAGGATTTCCTCCTCGTCTTCATCTGTTATCTTACCACTTATAAGTTCTTCGATTTCCTTTATTACAAGAGATTTTCATTAGCAAAAAAATCATCTTCAATATATGTAAATACAGTATAAAATACTTTACTTTCTGATAAGCAATTGCATCTTCGGTATCTTCCATCAATTTTTCAACTTTCTCTAGCGATACTTCTTTATTAAGTTCATTCAATATCTCGTTACCACGTGACAAACCTGCCATCACTTCTTTTTGAACAACAGCGAATTCCACCGATTGCGTCTAAAAGAATTTCGTATACGAGAGTTCAATACTAATCAATCAACAAAAAAAATGGTTATTAATGCGAGTTTATAATAAATTGAGAAATAAAAAAAGGTGTCGAAATGAGAATTCCGGGGAAAATCAAAATACTAACATTTTTTAAGGTTTCTTTTTCATGTCCAAACTCAAATAAATAGAAATATTCAATTTGTTTACCAGCTCATCAAGATTCAAGAGTTGCTCGTCGGTTTTATCTAGTAACTGTTGTTGGTATTTCTTCTTTTTGAGAGCGAGTAACGCGCGTCTTTTATCATTTCGAAGAATCGCAGCTTTCGCTAGCTCGTTCTCTTTGTCTATTACAAGTTGTATCTGTATAGAGAAAGTGCGCGCGGAATGAGAAATTGAGGAAAACCATTAATAAAAGAACAGACTATTACTTGTAATGAAGATACCTTTTTCTGATACTGCTTTAATCTATCTCGTTGAATTTTAAGGTCAAGTATAGCGCGGTCTTGCGCAGTTATTTTAGTATTTTTTTGACCCATTTGCTGTTGTTATTTGAAAGCGGGTAGAATTTGTATTAATTGCCAACTTTACTTACGCGCGTTTATCTATATATCCAAGAATAAGCCTAGAACTTTGCCAAGGGCGAAAAGATAACTTGGCGAAATCGAATCAAGTTGGACCAAAAGCAATCCTAATTTTATGATCACTTTTGTCATTTTACATATAATCTTAACCTTAACAGGATGCTATAAATTAGTGAATTAATTCACATATTTGGAAATAGAACCCTAACATGGAAAACATAATCAACGAATACGAGACAGAAAGTGAGGAAGAAAATATCGAGAACGCGAGCGACGATGCTTTAAAATTAAACCGACTTTCAGGATACACGATTGCGAATAATATCACTCAACCAAATAGCGTTGCTGTTTCTTCACACTATGTTTCTCAAATATCTAAAGTAGAAGATCAACCACAAAACACAACTTTAGTCCCTTCCACCTCATCGTTTTTTAATTTGGGAGAAAAAAGTGATTTTCTCATTCCGTCACAACAATTTGTTGAACCTCACTTGAAAAAAAACCTTCAAAATTTTAACCATTTTAAAATAAGACCTTATGTTTCGAAGCGACGAAAATTAGTACAAGAGCAAGAACAGGAACAGGAAAAGAAAAAAGTTGTACAAGGAGAGGCTATGGCGGGAAATTCGAAATCAAGTGAGCTTTTTGAATTGTCATTAGCTTAGTTTCAGACTGTTATTAGTATTTAATATTCAATTTTATATATTTCAAGAAGAAACAGAAATTATGTTACCGCCCGGCACCAAAATTCTTGATGTTCCTTCTCGTATTCTTTCTGCGATAAAAGATAATAGAGAAATAACTGCTAATAAACATGACCGATTCAATAATAGTGCGATCCCTAAACGACAATTAATTACACTTTCAAAAGAACATATAAAAGGTGTGAATGCCATAAAATGGTGCGGTGAATTTGGTAAGTATTCACGAATGGAATATGATTAATTTTTAGAAACTCTTTTTAATCTTCTTAATTGCTAAGGACAGGTTTTGGCCTCTGCTTCTATGGATGGCACTGTGAGAATTTGGGATGTATTCAGATCTAAAGAATGCGTTAGAGTAATTTCGCATGATGGTAATAATATAATGTAGCATTAGAGTCGAATATCCGAATTGAGATAAATTGCGCGTTTATTGTTATGTTTATTAAATAAAGGCGCAGTAAAAGATATACAATGGAATTCGGAGGGAAAAACTATTCTTTCATGTGGATACGAGAAGCTTGTCAAATTGACCGATTTAGAGACAGGAACAACCATTCAAGTAAGCATCCAAAACATAAATTTCATATTTTCACATTCATATTTATTAATTACGAAATTTCTTATTAAAGTCATTTTCGCACCCGCAATTTGTCACTTCGCTCCGTTTTAATCCATCACAATCGAATGTGTTTGTCGCAGGAATGACAAAAGATGGTCTTATTTCATGGGACATGCGAGCAAACAAAATAATAAAAGAGTTTCGAAAATTTTGGGGTAGTGTCAATGATTTGGAATTCTTCCCAGATAGTAGTCAGCTTCTTACTTGTTCTGATTACGTGGTACGTAACTCGGCCGATAAGAACATTGTCGTTTGGGATGTTAGCTCAGTAAGTGTATTTTAACATTGTTAATTTTTAATATAATGAAAATTTTAATTTTTTATATTGCTGCTTCTGTATAGGCAACTGCCGTTTCTAATCAAATATATCAAGAAGCTTTTTCATGTACGGCCTTAAGAATCCATCCTGCTCAAAAACATTTTGTTGCTCAATCCAACGCCAATTATATCGCAATTTTTAGATTGGAAAGTCCATGGAGATTGGATAAACGGAAGGTAAGTACACATTATCCTCTAATTATTTTCATATCGTTTTTTGTTATTAGCATCATTATTAAATTTTGATGATATCAGCGATTTGAAGGACATTTAGTAAATGGACATCCCATTAGATGTAATTTTTCTCCGGAGCCTGATAATGGACGATATCTGATTTCAGGAGACTCTAATGGCGCTATATTTTTCTATGACTGGTCAACATCAAAGATTGTAAAAAGCATTGAGAATGCACATCAAGGGCCCTGCACTGATGTTAGCTGGCATCCTGTTTTGCGTGGTACTGTGGTTAGTTGCGGATGGGATGGTAGAGTTCTAATATGGGGATAAATTATATATTTAAAATGGATTTGTAAGTGGTAACTATCAAAAGCTCGCTTCACTTGAACATATAGAAACATGTCTGATTCAAGATAAATATACAATGTTACAATTTTATTTACAATAAGTCAATACGACATAAAAAATAATCCACAATATTTTCCAACTACCATAATTATTATGATAGCTCATTGTAGTTGTTAAAAATTTCTTCATCAGCTTTTCGTCCTTCCCATAATTTCTGAATATCTCTCGTTTCCAAAAGGCCATTTTCGGTAATATAATGATCAATTAAACTTGATTCCACTTTTTCGAAATACACATTTCTAACTTTGACCGACTTGTAACTCAGCAAGTTGTTCTCCGATTCATTACCGGAGTAACTTGTGTTAAAAGTGAAAGTTCAAGAAAACTTTGTAAAAATCAATGATGAAATTATTGAACAAAAAGAAAAAGAAAGGATTTAACAAAAAAAACTAGAAGATTATAATATCTGTATTTATAATAGAAAAGAATCTGAATATACTCAATGTAAGATAGAATAAAATATATACTGACAGCTAGAAATACTACTGTAACTATTATTAAATACCATTCTAATCATGATTGAATCAGACTTGAACTTAGAATAATAATAATATTTATATCAAGTTCTGAATTCATATAAAGATCTTTTTGATACTTCTCAGTCTGGTTAAATAAATATACTTCAATATAAAATATATTTAGAAGAAAAAAGATTTATTACTCTTCAATCATATTATCACAAGTCATTTATAAAGAATGCTTTCTTAAAAGAGAAAATTCAAAAGATGTTGGATAATTGAATAATTTTTCCTTCTGATAGTTCTTGATTTGCACTAATAGTAATAGTAAGAAAAAAGAATAAAAAATTCTGATTGTGTATAAATTACAGAAAACTAAATGAAAAAGACTGATACTCTCTTTCACAAATTGATGAACTTCTGAACTCTTTCAAAAATGCTAAATATTTTATCACTATAAATCTTGCTAGTAAATTCTGACAAGTAGAAATATACTCAAGAGATTGAGAGAAAACTATATTTATTATCAATAAGAGTCTATTTTATTTTAATATAATATTATTTGGACTTATAAATGCTTCAGTTATCTTCCAAAGGCTTATGAATAAAATATTTAAGAAATATATTAGAAAGTTTATAGCTATATACTTGGATGATGTGATCATATATTCCAAAACTTGAGAAAAATATATAGATCATATATAAAAAGCTTTGAAAAAGCTTTAATAGACAAATCTAAAATTTTAATCAGATTAATGTACTTTTGAAAAGAATCAATTATCCTTCCTAGGTTATATCATAGAAAAAGATAAAATTTATCTTGATCTAGTCAAGATAAAAAAAGTACAAGAATTTCAAGTATCAACTAATATTATGTCATTAAGAGAATTTGTAAAGCTTATCTCTTATTACAAAAGATTTATCAAAGATTTTGTCAAGATAGTAGTCTCTCTATATAAATTATTCAAGAAGAATGAAGAATTCAAGTAAACAGAAAAATAACAAATTATTTTTGAATCACTTAAGAAATATCTAACTTTATCTTCAATCATCACTTATCCAGATTTTTCAAGACCATCTATCCTTTTTACTAAACTAGGATTAGAAGCTGTACTAACATAATATGACAGTGAAAAAAAGAAATATATAATTGCTTATGCTAGTAGAAGAGTGAGTAAGAAAAAAAATAAATATACTGTAACAGAATTAGAATATCTTGGAATCATTTGGACAGTTAAACTATTTAGATCTTATCTGCTATCCAATATTCTATTTATATTAATAACTAACTACTCAATATTTAAGTGATTAATTAATAAGTCAAACTCTCCTAGAAGATTTGCACATTGGATAATGACTTTATAAGAGTGTAATTTTAAAGTTGAATACAAATCTGAAAGAATCTATTCAAATATTGATCCACTTTTCAAAATATCACACACATTTACAAAAGAAAAAAATAAAATATAAATCTAAATAATTATGTAAAACTATATAATTATCTCAATATACCAACAATACCTGATGAATTCTCAAAGAAAAAATGAAAATGGCTGCTAACAGAATCAAAAAAATATTTTATGCAGAATCACAAACTATATAAAAGAAATAAATAAGATGTTAATTATTTATTATTAGTCATAAAATTAATAGAAATAGAGTCACTCCTTTATAATAATCATTCAGATATCATTTCTAAATATTTTGGAATTGAAATTACCTATAATCAAATAATAAGAAACTATTATTGACCTCAGATATATAGAGATATAAATACATATATTAAAGTCTGTAATATATATTAATAAAAAAGATGACTACATAAAAATAATAAATTGATATCTATTTAAGTAAATATATCTTTCAAAAAGATTAGAATTGATTTGGTAGGATCTCTTTTAGTAATTAATAATAGAAACTGCTATATTATAGTTACTATTGATTATTTAACTAAATAGGCTAAAACAAGACTAATTACTAATACTTCTGCAAGTATAATTATTCTCTTTCTTTATGAAAATATAGTAATAAGACATGAATTTTCAAAAAAAATACTTAGTAATAAAGAAATTACATTTATTAATGAAATAATCAAGAAACTATTAAACAAATATCAAATTAAATACAAATTTTCTGCATCTTATCATTCTTAAACTAATGAGCTAGTTAAGAGATTGAACTAAATCTTATATATTTCATTATCAAAATAACTTTATTCTTTGTGTAATGTACATCAGAAAATTTTTTGGAGAGATATTCATTAAGAATTATCATTATATTTATAAAAATTGATAAATATCTCTTTGAAATATTGATATTAATTGACAACTCTAATGATCTTTAATAAATATCCATATTGATAATAATTGATTATTATTAATATATTATTTATTAATATATAATAATATATTAATCATTATCATAATATA